TTTCCTTATTCAAAGAAGTAGAAACAGAGAGAAATTAAAGGTGATCTAAAAAGAAAAAAACTGAAGTTGTGTTTCTATTTCTTTATCACCTATAAAAAGATCTGAGCACACCAGAAACATCAGTAATATCAGGTTTTCTCTTCTTTTTTTGTTTGATAAATTTGTTTGACTCAGAAATGTATACTGTGAGCCAAGTCTTTATAGTTAGAAGGAATAGAGCAGTGGGCACAAGATCACTTTTTGAATTTAAGTGCAATCCAAGATTAACCTCAAATGTAAATACCCTTGCCCCACCTCCTTCCTGCCCCTTCTCTGAGGCCCCGCCCCTGCTCACTCTATCTTCCCTCTGTTGCCCTTCCTCACTTCCATCAGGCTGGGCCAGAGGGTTGGGTGCAAGCTCTGGTCTTGGATTAAGGGATCTGGAGTGTGAGAGGGGCTCTGAATTGATCTTAGAGAAGGCTATTGGGATGTAGGAGAGGGTTTTAGGTGCAGGCTCTGGGAAGGTGTTGGGCTGCAGGGGTGCTCGGGGCTAGGACAGGGACTTGGGATGCACGAGGGGGATCATGACTGGGGTAGGAGTTTGGGATGTGGGTTCCAGCTGAGCACTGTTGGTGGTTCCTGGTTGTTGGTGTAGTGGGGCTAAGGCAGGCTCACCCTGGCCCTGGCCCACTCCCTAAAGCAGCCAGCAAATTCCATCCCAAGTCCTGTTGTGCCCCCTCTCTGCTCTGTGGAGAAAGGATACAGAGTGGGAAGGGCACTTTGACAGCAGCACCCTGAACTCCCTACCCTTCCCAGCGTAGAAAGCAGGAGGCTCCCCAGTGGTAGGAGCAGTTCCAAGGAAAAGGGCAGGAGATGAGCAGCAGTGGGGAGGGGCAGCTAAAGTGCAGGCACTTGATAGCCTTTTGGCCAAACCAGTTAGGATCACCTGTCAGAGGCTCCAAGATCTACCAGTAGATCCCCATCTACTGGCTGGTGACCACTGCGATAGAGGAACTGAATACTCCAGTATCTTTTCCTTAGAAAAAATTTCAGTTAAACAAGTATTCACAAAAATAAAGTTAGGCATATAGGGCACAATTTTAGTCAAAGTACAGGTTGTACCTCTTTGGTCCTGCAACCTCAGGACATGACCTGGGAATCTGCAAAACCAGAGTAGATCAATGCCAGCCCTTCTGCTGCTGCTGGAGTGGGACCACAGCCAGCAACAGTAGGGGTATGTCTACACTACCCCGCTAGTTCGAACTAGTGGGGTAATGTAGGCATACCGCACTTGCAAATGAAGCCCGGGATTTGAATTTCCCGGGCTTCATTTGCATAAGCGGGGAGCTGCCATTTTTAAAACCCCGCTAGTTCGAACCCCGTGCAGCGCGGCTACACGGGGCACGAACTAGGTAGTTCGAACTAGGCTTTCTAGTTTAGGGGTGGTAGAAAGAGAGAAGCCCAGAGGAGCTGGTACTCATCAGGTGGGGACTGAGGAAGGGAGGGTGCTCAAGGAAGAGGCAGAGTGGCTGTGGAGCTCCATGGCCAGGAGCACAGCCCCATGAAACTCCACAGCCACCCTGCTTCTTCCCTCGAGTACCCCCCACTCCTGCACCTCCTCCTCCTCTCTCCCTAAGGCTAAGTACTACAAATGAGCTATTTGCTGCAGTTCTTGGAAGGCAGGGAAGGAGTTGCATAGTGAGGGGCCTGGCTTTTCCCAGTCAGTGCTCCAGCCTGGGAGCACCCACAGGGATGCCTGATACATGTTATCAGACTATGGAAGTCCAGACTAGAGAGGTCCAACCTACATCTCAAGTAATTAGGTTTTATTTTTTTGGTAGCGGTAATGACAATATCCTAGACCACAGAGTAGGACTGTTTGAAAATTTTCCAACCAAACTTTTTAAAATGGAAAATAGGGTTTGGGATTAAATAAAAAGTGTTGCAAGAAGTGTTTCCTTTCCACAGAATATTTTGTTTTATCGTTAAATTATTTTGACCAAAATCTCTTTGGTTAGTAAGTTTTCTACTGAAAACTGGAATTTTTCTAGTGGATATGTCGATGAGAACAAAAGGCTTGTTTTTGTTTCTTTCCATCAAAAAAAATCGTGGGGGTAAGGAAAGGAAACAATCAGATCGATTTTATCAGGAGCGGCTGATTTTCCGGAATAAGTGGCCCAGTGTAGACACAGCCTAAGCCTCTTTCAAAAGAGGCTTTTTCGAAAGATACTTTCGAAAGCCTCTTTCGAAAAAGAGCGTCTAGACTGCAAGCGGAACTTTCGAAAAAGCAAGCCGCTTTTTCGAAAGAAAGCAGCGAGTGAGTCTGGATGCTCTCTTTCTAAAAAGCCCTGTTGGCGTTCAAGAACACCTTTTTTCGAAAGAGCACTTTCGAAAAAAGGCGTTCTTCCTCATGAAATGAGGTTTACCGCCGTCGAAAGAAAAGCCGCGTTCGATTTAATTTTGAAAGAACGCGATTGCAGTCTAGACGCAGGTGAAGTTTTTTCGAAAAAAGGCTACTTTTTTCGAAAAAACCCGTGAGTCTGGACACAGCCCTGGAGGAAGGAGGCCACTGCCCCAGGGCCAGCGATCCAAAAGGGCCCGGGGCCACCACCGCGGGCGCTGGAACAATTTGTACAGTGGGGCGTGCTGAGAGTCCTGGAACCAAACTAAACCCCCTTCAAGCCGGGTGGTGCGGCCTCAGCACCCCTCGCTCCAGCGCCTCCTGGCCCGCGCGCTTTCACGCCAGCAGGTGGGAAGCAACCAGGGCCAACCCCTCCGTTGACGGGGCGCTTTGCCACCCCAGTGCTGTAGCTAGGCGGCCCCC